TAACCTGAATTCCATTTTTCGTCTGTAATTGAAGGAGATTCCTGGAAAGGAGTCGTGGGGATTATATGATGCTGAAATGCCCTGAGATTCTTATTTTCTACCTTATTTCCTAATCTCTCCAAACCCCGAGTGCCCTCAGCTTTAGACCATGATGCTCTCTGTCTACGTCCACACCGCCCCCGCCTGTCTGGCCCTTCCCCTCTGGTTTCTCACTCTTCTTTTTTTTCTGCCTCCACCCTTTTTCTTTTCCTCCCTCTCTGCCCTCAGTTATTTATGAACACGACTTGAAATAGACTTTAGTATTTGATAAAAGCGTGATCCTTAATCCGAGTTGCCTGAGAAGTGCATTTCATTTTTATTCCCCATCAGAGATTGATGGAGGAGTGGGGCGGTTACCCACTCTGTGATTGCTAATGTAAATTCATTGGGTTCTGGTGGACATGTATAAAGATATGGAGGACTTGTTTGTGCATGATAGTGCCACCGATAAGAGATTGTGTGCGTGCAAAGTAATGGAAAGGCTGGATTGTTGTGTGGCAGGGAGGAAAGGAAAGAGGAGCAGTCTGAGAATTATATGATGCATGTCTTGATTTATCGAAAGCGAGTTCACTTCTGAAATAAACCATTCTTCTAAAACATCACAATATTTGCAGAATCACTAAGTGCAATTCTTTGACTGCCTTCATGCCGTTTCATATTTCAACGTTCACTTGTGCCTTCCTGAAGGAGGTGGAAAAATAAAATGGGTGATAAATTTAAGATGACAGTTACGCCATATGAATGAGGCCCCTTGTGTATCAATTCGCTCAAAGCCAGCTGCAAATTTAACTCAGCCTCCTTATGTGGCAATTACTGGTGGGTAACATAACCTGAATATATCTGCTTTGTTCATTACGCCAATGTTCTCTATAGCTGGCAAATGTTCTTTAGGATCCTACAGCAAATTAGCTCATCCCCCAGGACGTCTTTTATTGGATGATCCAACGCCAGAGGATGCCGCAAAACCACTTGAGCTCTCCGCAGCCTGCCCCGGTTGCCACAGGGTTAATATTTAAAAGCGCAAGCTCCCAGTCGTGTATTGATGATATGTTTTGAAAATTGCTGAGGCAGGCTCATTGTTACACTGCTGTCTAGAAGATAGCCAACCACCCCCCATCCCTCCCTCTCCCCCCACGCCTCCCGTTTTCCCCTCCCCCTATACAGCCGCCAGATGGAAAACACACTAAAGCATGTAATGTAATATAGCTTGGCAGACAAAGGTGTTTCACACCAACTTCATCTGGCCTCTGATCTGCTACAAAACAGGTTTTTACCAAACACACTCCTGGTCACCAACCTATGGTTGGTTTCTTGCACTGGGGGAGAAAAGAAATTGCACAAGCACACACATGAAGACAGTGAACCTCAGCAGCTAAAAGTAGAAAACAAGTGGAAAATAGGCTGTGCCTCCCAATTGCCTGTGGCATACTTTAAGGTTTTCTCTGAGATCCCCCCCTTTTTTTTTTCTTCTTCAGCATTGTCTTCTTCTTCTCTTCAATGAACTAAAACTGCCACAACTTCAGTGCAACATCTCAGTCACAGACAGTGAAAAGAAGAAAGAGGAGCAATCTGTTAGTCCTCCACTATCACCAGCATCATCATCAACACAAGCCTCTTCCCCTCCTTCCCTCCCTCTCCCCCCCTCCTCCCCGCAGAGCCCTCCGCCACGACTCCC